TTTCCACAAGAGAAGTCGCAGGTTTGACTGGAGTCTTGATTTCTTCACAGCCCTAGAGGATGACCAACATGCATCTCCTATCTCCCGATCACTTCTTTTCACCATCTGAAACGCACTCAGGTCACTACGCTTCTTCACTATAAACCATTTTTACGGTTGTGTGCAGTCTATAAAAGTATTTCATTGATTTTTATAAGTCAGTTGCGTTACAGCCCATAGGAAAGTCAGTAAGAGAACTGAAAATTCAGTGGTACTAAAGCCAGATACAGAGAAACACACGCCAAGGTAAAGAGCTCAAAATGTCCTGTGGTCCTCCCCCACGCTCAAAGAACTCTCCCACAAGTTAGCCTAGACTTCAATTTTCTGCTAAGCCAGGGATTAATGTACATTTTACTTCAGGCCCAGGTGGTCCGGCCGCAGCAGCAGAGGGAAGTCAGGAGATCGGGGCACATAGATTTCCTTCCTTGTTTTGCTGTCAGGATATCATGTTTGGCATAAGCATTTGTCCCGCACTTTTGAAAGCGATGCATTTTTCCTCCCTGGAGGAAACTGTAAGGTTTAAGTAACTAGGCTTGCACTTAAAGCAAGGTTTACGCTTTACGGTTGGACTTGATGATCTTAATGGTCTTTGCCAACCCAAGCGATGCTATGATTCTAAGTCAGGCTCCGAGCGAGGCAGCCCGCCCCGCTCCTGCCCACCTCCCGGCGGGAGCGGCACGCACCTGCTCGGCCGGGAAGCGGTGCTCCTTATCCAGCTGGGCGGCCAGAGGCATCAGCTCCTTTTCTGCGAAGTCCCGGCACGTCTGTCGCAGCATCTGGTGGGTTTCGGGCAGCTCCGCTGTCTGGTACACCGTGTGCAGCCGGCGGAAGCACCCAAAGGCCAGCGCTGAAAGGAACGACAGGAATTAAGCGCCGTTGTTCCCCTCCGCGCCCGGGGGAGAGGGCTGAGACCGGCCCAGGAGGAGCCGGCCCCAGGCGCGACGCACGCAACGCGGCCGGGGGCCTTCCCGGAGAGACGCTTTTCTCCCGGCACCGGGGCCGCGGGATCTGGGACCGCAGCCGGGGCGCAGCGGGCCGGGGGCTCAGCTGAAGGGCGGCACCGCCCCGCCGCGGCTGACGGGGCCCGCCCCAGGCCCAGCAGGG